GGGTCTGTTCAGCTCCTTAGCCCATTTATTGATTGGGTTGTTTGTTTTTGGTGTTAAGTATTGAGTTAACAGAGAGGAGGGAGGCATAGGAAAGATGGAGTAACTTTGGGCAAAGGGGAGGGAGGGGAGGTAAGGTGCATGGGGGCAGGAAAGATGGTGGAATGAGATGGACATCATTACTCTAGGTACATATATGACTGCACATATGGTGTGATGCTACATTGACAACCTTAGAAATGTAAAGTTGGCTGCAATTGTGTACAATTAATCAAATGCATTCTGCTGTCATATATACCTAATTAAAATAAATAAATTTTAAAAATTAAAAAATAACATGTTCAATAAAAATATCCCCAAAGGGGGAAAAAAGAAAAAGAATAAGGAAATGAAAGAAGGAAGAAAAAAAAGGAGGAAGGAAAAAAGACAAACATGGAATAGAAAGGAACTTAAATTTTGGGGTAGGGATGAACAAAACAAACTACAGCAAATGTATCACATAATAATGAAATATTAGAATCATTCCTTAAAGAGGAATATTTGCTATCATCAACTTTCATCAGCACTGTCCTGGAGATTTTTAAGTAGAGTTGTAGTAAAAAGAGCCCAAACAACTGGAAAGGAAACAATACTGTCATTTGTAGATGATAATAATAATATCTAATTTCTAATAAGAAAATTCTAGTGAACTTCAAGGAAAATTACTAAAAATTTTAGAATTATTAGGAAGTTTAGCACTATTGTCATATATTCTCAGTATCCAAATTTCAACTGTTATTTTTATGAAACAGCATCAAATTCAGCTATTAGCAATTTTAGTTTGGAAATGGTCCCTCAAGTTCAGGGTCCCAGAACTCACTTTATCTTGAAGAGATTCATACATAGTCCAAATTCCCTGTAGAGGGTTCTTTACTCTTTTAAGGAAAGCTTAAGAGGATTAATTTATCAGAAAAACAGTGAATTAATTTAATTTAAAAACACAATTAATTGAATCAGAAAAACAGTGAAGAGGGTATTTGGTTTCTAAAGTTTTGTCTAGGTCTCTGGTTTCCACATTACCAGCCTGAGTAAAGACACAAAAGACAAAAATATAGGAACAGTCAATCCACCATTAAGGAGAAATTCAAGAAGAAAAAATATGATTCCTTGCAATTAAGTTCAAATAACTGCTATCAGTAAAGGATAAATGAAGTGGAGCGGGTCTAATAAGACTTCTAAGGATAAAAGTTCTAGGAGCTGTTGTCAGGTTAAAAAAAAAAAGACAAAGGAAGTCTTAAATTGCATTCTGCAAAATCTGCATCCACCCCATTCTGAAACAGCCAGGTGGTATGTTTTCAAAGAAATATTGGTAAATTAAAAGATTCAGAGACAGTGATAAGAACCAAATTGCATTCAAAACTTAGGATATTTAACTTGCAGAAGCAATATTCATACAGGAACCTGAAGGCAAAAATTAATGAAATGGAAATGGTGTGAAGCATAGAAATATATCTTGTAAAAAAAAAAAAAAAAAACCCTTATCTCCAGTTGTTCAAAATGCCAGTCCAACATTGACGTGACTTCCATGTTTTCTCAAGAAAAGCTGAAAACACTGTGCACATTGACTCTTGCCTGTACTGTCAGCTACTTGGGAGGCTGAGGCAGGAGGATCGCAAATTCAAGGCCAGCCTGGGCAATTCAGCAAGACCCTGCCTCAAAATAAAAAATAAAAAGGGCTGCAGATGGGGCTCAGTGGTGGAGTGCCCCTGGATTCAATACTCAGTACCAGAAAAACAAACAAGAACAGCTGAAAATTCACATTTTACAAAAATATCTCCTGGTTTTAAATTACTTTTATATTTAAAACTTTTATTGATCATTACTATGTATAATACTTGTAACAGTTAAAAAACTATTGAGTATTCTTCAGTATAGAGGCTCATCTGCTTTAGAAGATAATTTATAAATGAAATATTTGCATATAAAAATGAGTGCAATGAGTAAATTTAACATTTGTGACATATTCTCATATTAAAAAATATACACACCAAACCAAAATGTTATAGAGCAAATAAGCACTGTAAAGCAAACACGCTGGCTCCCCTAGAAGCCCTCCTAGGGTCCCTTCCAAATCCAAATTTCCTCCCTCCTGACTAACATAATGTCTTTTGTCTTCTTTAGGGAAGGTTACTAAGGCCACATAGAATATTCTAGGTTAATATTTTATATCACTATCTTGATGATATCATGCCTTTGTTTTCCAACATGCCATTGTCCTTAAGTGCAGTTAGCAATTGTCTCATCTCTTTGATTGTTTTTTCCTATTTATTCTGCATGGCATTTCCTGGCATCTGAAATCTCTGGCTTGATGTCTTTCATCAGATTTAGAAAATTCTCAACCCTCTGCCTCATTCTTTCTCTTTTCCTCTCTGGCTCTTCAAGTATGCAAATGTCAGATCTTGCATCCACTATGTCCTATATAATTTTGATAAATTATATTTTTCTTAGAAGATTATCCATTTTACTCAGGTCTTCAGACTTCTTTGCATTGACTAGTATCAATCAGTTTCTTATGAGTATTGAAATTGTTTTGTGATTATTACTCCCTGTCTTTTTGTATTTTGAGTAGTTCTACTGTCTCCCTTTTTTCCTTGATTAATCAGGCTAGCTAATAGTTTGTCTGACTCAAGAGTCAGCAAACATTTTTTTTTTTTTTTTTTGGTAAATGGGCAGATAGTAAATATTTTAATCTTTGTAGACCAATTACATTATATAAGTACTTTAATAATGAGAGGAACATTTCTACAAAAATTTTAATGATATTCAAAATAAAATAACTAAGTATATTTTTTTCTAAACCTTTAACCTAAGTTTTAAGTATCTCTTTTACACAACATAGTCAAGCACTGAATTTAGTTTGGATTCTAATATGAATAACCTTTTTAGATGCAATAAACTTATTTACGTTTATTCATGTGACTATATAGATAGAACTTAATTCTTCATATTATTTGGCCTTTTCTTTTCTTTTAACTTGGCTTTTTCTTAAAAAAATCATTTTAATTCTCCTGATATTTAGGAAGTTTTTAGCTTTGCGTCAATGATAATCTTTATACTTATACATCTATGGATCCTGCCTTTTTTCCCCATGTCTGCCTTCTTATGACAATAAAAAATTGTTACTATGTAATTCCAAAAAATAGATATTTTTTATTATGGATCCCTGCATAATTCATATTTAACTTATATGTTTTCAAAAGTTCAATATTCTTAAACACAGTTAATTGCCTCCATATGATCAAGAGGTGACAGTAAATGAAAAACCTTATAAATTGTAAAGCAGGATTCAAATTATTTGGTGTAAAAAAAAAATAGGATGAAAATACTGCATTTGTCTCCCGAAAGAAGAGGAATCATTGCCCCTGTTTGAATATGTAATTAACTGAAATTGTGGCTCTTCTACCTTTTAACAGGTTTACAAATCTATATTTTTTATGATTTTTTGCAAGGTTCACATTACCCTGATTAAGGAAAAATACAAACATTTCCTTAGGCATGTTAATAAAAAGAAAGAAAAATAGTATTCTAGCGTTTCAAATCATAGAAGCAATAGTGGCAGCATTCAAAAGTAAACATGACCTTCTCAATTTTTATTACAATCCACATCAGTTCACAAAGTTGCCTTGCTCAGTGTGACTGCCAGGCTGCCAGCATCCCTAAACAATAGAGTTCAACTTAGGTTTTTACAGGAAATATTATAGGAAGGAGAAAGTCCAAATATGAGAGCAGCTACTCCAAAGAAAGAATGAAGATGAAGTGGCTTCTTGAATAATACATTTGTAAGACTCAGAAAGGTGGGCTGGAAAGCAAGTGGTCAGAAAGCAGGTGAGGGAGATACTGTATTGTAATTAACCTTCTGACTTAGTACCCTTCTCTTCATGATTACCCTCGTTTTGTTTTTGTTTAGACAACCATACCATCCTCTGTAGCACATGCACTTTGGAGAAAGCCAAATTTATCACTAGTTCTGGTAATTAGGTACACATTCAGCCCACGTGAACTATAATCCCACTCACAAAACATGGTTTTAAGTTAATGCATGTGTATGTGACTCAGTAAAGACCTCTGAAGGACAAAGAATGGTTTGAGGGGAGTATCTGAAAAACTCCCTTGATCTCCCAGAACTCTCCATGTATTCCCATAAGCCAGACTTAAGATAAAGCTGATATCATAAGGAAGGCAAATGGAGAGATGGGAAGAAAAAGAATCTTTGGAGCATCTAGGCCACACCAACCCCAAACTCCACACATCATCTCCAAATTTCTTCTTATTAGTTAAGCAAATTTGCACATGATTTCTTTCCCTTGCAATTAGAAACACATTAATATATCAGATACCCAGACTCCTGATTTATAGCTAGAAAATTGAAAATACTTAATAGATAAGGCAAAAGTAAGGTTAAATCCATATTCTTTTTTAAATTTGTTCTAATTAGTTGTATGTGACAGTTGAATGCACTTTGATTCATTGTATACAAATGGAGTACAGCTTTTCATTTCTCTGGTTGTACACAATCATACATGTACCTAGGGTAATGATGACCTTCTCATTCTACCATCTTTCCTACCCCATGCCCCTCCCCTCCCCTTCCACCCCTTTGTCCAACTCAAAGTTCCTCCATCCTTTCCCTGCCTCACCCCCATTGTGGTCACTGTTGTGTGCACTTACTCTGTAGCAGCAACTGTTCATAAACCAACTTACAAAAGCAGAAACCCTTAATGTACAACTTTAGAAAAAAAAATGATAATATAAAAATAGCTATATGGCATGATTATTAATAACATCCCATTACTTTTAAGTGTCCTAATTTACACAATTACCCTGTCTCTAAAGCATGTTTCTGGATTTGAACATTACCCTCATTAGAAAAAGAACACTAGCCCATGGAAATGCCTCCAGACCTCTAAAAGACGGAATGATTTAGAAAGTGGTATCAGGGAAAATATGCCTACAAAGAATCAATATCCATGTGTCTTTTTTATTCTAAATACATATTGCAATTCCAGTTTATTGACTGCAGCTGTAAGGACAGATGTTCAGGGATCACAGAGACCTTCACAAATAGGAAGAATGACATAGTTCTATGAAGACACAGCAAGAAGCAAGATTTGAAAAACTGGTAGACTGTACATTAAATCTATATTTCTTCAATCATCTGCTACCATATATAAATACCACTGTAGTCCAAATTCATTTATTTGCATTTTAATTCTACAGTCTTCTATTGAACTGGACTGGGACTTAGTCAAAAAGGAATTGGCATTTGGAGGCCAAGCTCTCATGAGGTAAGAAACCATGTGGAGTCAAGAAAGGATGAGAGAAAACTTACACCAAATAAGTGGCTCTACTTAGGACATCCATGGCCCTCAGCATCTTATGAACCTTTGTGCTCCTCAATAGAGAATTCAACTTTAGAAGTCATAGAAGCTTTAAAAATATCATTGTTAATACTTGATTTTGCTCTAGTGCTGTTTTCAATGACACATCTGTGTTCATTTGACTTTATGATACTGTGACGTACCAAACACCACGCTGATTAGATTAAATAAGGTTCAGGGGTAAGGAAACATACATCCTTATTCCCCAAAACATCTATAACTTTCAGCGTCTTTTGGCACAGATAAGGTAGGGCTGAGGGTGCAATGTCATGCCTAACCTAGGCTTCAGATCTGGAACCACTTCATATGGAAAATGCAAATGAAACCGCTGGAGCAGCGCTGTAAAAAACAAGAACATTTCCATCCGAGCCAGATGTTCTCCAAGACAATGTCTTCTCCCTAAACAGGAAAAGCAGATATAATATGTTTTTGTTTGTTTAATTAGTTGGTTTTTGGGTGTGAATCTGTGGTACTGGGATTTAAATCAGGGGTACTCTACCACTGAGCTACATCCCCAGCCTGTTTTTAAAAATGAGGCTGGCCTCAAACTTGTGATCCTCATGCTTCAGCCTCCTGAATTGCTGGGATTAAAGCATGTGCCACCATGCCTGAATGTTAAAAATTTACATTTACCAAAATTAATGTCTAATATTTGAATGACATTCAGGAAATCTGGAAATTAAAGAAAGTTAGAGGAAGTTATGCTTATTAAATGATTCTCTTAAATCCCAAAGAATAGAAATTAGCAGTACAGCACACAGAAACCATTCCTTTACCTCCTTTTGTTAGATCATGGACTTTTGGAAGACTTTAGTCTCATCTCCAACTTCTTTTGCACATTTCAACAGAGCCTAAGATAAGCTATGAAAGATCTAATTTGAGATGAGGCATTTTGAGAAGTCCATTTTAGTTAGTTCAACTAAATAAATGTGTACTTTTCTCAATAATGAGAAAGAATTTCTAGTTTATCTTCCATGGGTCTGTGATCTGTGTCCTTTTTCACAGCAAAAGCAATATTTCCTAACTGGAGATGAAGTACAATAAACCGGAAGACAAAAAGGTTATAGTTTTACTTCAAGTTGTCAAGTTTCTAAAGCCACCTGTTACTGACTTCTAGCTCTAAAAAGTTTCATTACAAATAAAAAAAAAAAAACAAAAAAAACAAAAACATTCCAGGAGAATCCAGAGGTTCTTAATACTTTAACTCTAATTAATAAATCATAGCTTATTTTGAGTAGAAAAAGTATTAATACAGAATACATGTATGATGATGTGAGGAGGAAAAAAAGAAGTGTGTCACATTAGATTGGGTAGAGAGAAGTGATGGGAGGGGAGGGGAGGGAAAGGGGGGATAGGAAGGGCAGCAGAATAAAATAGACACTATTATTGCTGTATGTATATACATGACTGTATGATCAATGTGATTCTGCAACCTGTACACTCAGAAAAATGAGAAATTATACCCCATTTGATTCAAATGTATGATATGTCAAGATCATTGTACTATCATGTGAAACTAATAAAAAAAGAAAAAGTATTAATACCTATAATCAAACAATTCTTTACTAAAAGAATCAATAATATAATTTCAGAATTAGAATATTTAATTTTAGAGTGATGACTCGTGATGAGTCATTGTTATATTTTATTCTAACATTCTCTTACTTAGGGAAAAATTTCTCTTACCTAAGGAGAAAGGAATCAAAGCTTCCTTTTTGATAAAATATCCACTGCTGTCCAGAAATCGCTCGGGATTGAACACTTCTGGCTCTTTCCAATATTTTTCATCAAAGTGTACAGAATAAAGATTTGTAATTACTGTTGTGCCTTTAGGAATGGAATAACCACGTACAACTGCATCTTCAGAGGTTGCGTGGAAAATCCCTAATGGAACTATATTACAGAATCTTAAAACTTCATGCAAAACCGCTTCAGTATAAGGCATTTTGCACTTGTCATCCCAAGAAGGTTTTCTGTCAGGGCCCATAATTAAATCAATCTCTTTCCAAACTTGTCCTGTCAGAGAAACAGTGTTCAAGTTATTATACAATTCTTAGAATTATGTCTAAAATAATATCTCTTTAATCCAACAGGGCAGGTACACTCAGATTTTTCATTTCTCATTATTTGGGAGTTTGTTTGAAATACATGCCATATGTCTTATAACAGTAGCCAATGCTCTGGGTAACTTGTCATGAACAACATATTACAAGGATTAAGGACAAAAATTAAGCTGGGTGTAGTAGAATATGTCCGTAATCTCAGCTACTCAGGAGGCCGAGGCACAAAGATTCCAAGTTCGAGGCCAGCCTGGACAAATTACTGAGACCCTGTGCTCAGTGGTAAAGCACCTCCAGGTTCAATCCCCAGAAATGGGAGAGAAAATTTAAAAATCAAATAAACTTAGAATTGGGATAATATCACTTTCAGTAAGGAATTTTCCTGAGTAAAGCATAAAACTTGAATGAGAAAAACCAGAGTCCAGTTCCCAGCTATGTCACTTCCAGACACTCAGCCCGCATCCTCATTCATAAAATAGACATAATAAGATCCATTTCAGAGTTGCTTTTTACTTTAAGTGTATTTTCTTAAGATGGACACAATACCTTTACTTTATTTATTTTTATGTGGTGCTGAGAATTGAACCCAGTGCCTCACATGTGCCAGGCAAGAGTTCTACTACTGAGCCACAACCTCAGCCCTAGAGGTGCTTTTTTTTTTTTTAATACTAGAATTGAAAACTCCTCATTACTATGAAATATTCTCATCTTGGCAAGCTTAGCAGAAATTCTTAAAAATGATTTCTACATGGTTAAAGACTTTAAAACATATATGATCCCTACCTAAGATCATCAAAAGAATCCTCACCTTGAATGTTGGGATAAAGGGCCATAAGAAGAATTGCCCAGCGTAATACATTGGTTGTTGTTTCAGTTCCAGCAATGATGAGTTCACCCACTGAGAAAATTAGGTTTTCTTTGGAGAAAGTAGATAATGGGTCATTTTTACCTTGATCCATCTCATCTAAATAAGAATCAACAAAATGCTGAGGTGACTGAGGCTTTCTGTTGATGGAAGCTTTTTCAATAAGTCTGGAGAGAAAATCATAGACCACAGCTGCGTTTCTAAATAGCTGTTGATGTTTTCCAAAGGGTAAAATGCCAATCCATGGAAAGGCATTATATAGGAAAACTGAGGCACTGGCAGCTAGCTCCACATTTTCACTGAATAACTCAATCATGTGCTGAAAATCAGTGTCTTCGTAAGTGAATCGTTCTCCAAAAATGATCAGATTAGTTATGTTCGAAACAGCATTTGTTATTAACTGCTTAAAGTCAAAAGGTCGACCTTTGTATGTCTCAATAACATCAATGAAAAATGTGGTTTCTTCTAAGATTTTAGATTCAAAAGACTTTTTGCCATATCCAAAACAGCGAAAGCTGTTAACTGCTAATCTTCTGTGATCAACCCATCCTCGGCCATATCTGGCATTGAGTAAGCCTGAAAAGAAAATTAAAAATCTTGTATAATTCCTCCTTCTCTATAACAGGTAAAAATCCTATTGAATAAAAAGAAATTTTAAAAGTTGAAGAAAACAAATCTTAAAAACAGAGAGTTGTTTTCCTGCAAATTATCTTTCTATATAACTGGTTGGTTGGGTCCTGTTCTGTTACTCATTAGTCATAGGATATTATATCAGATAAAACTTCTCATCAGGCCCAGTGGTGAACACCTGTAATCCCAGCGACTTGGGAAGCTGAGGCAGGAGGATCACAAGTTCAAGGCTAGCCTCAGCAACTTAGTGTGGCCCTAAGCAACTTAAAGAGACCCTGTATCAAAATAAAATATTTTAAAAAGGGCTGTGGATGTAGCTCAGTGGTAAAGCACCCCTGGGTTCAATCTACAGTACAAACAAATAAAAAACTTCTTTTTTCCTTACCTGGGTACTAGAAGAAAAGAACTATAATTCTTTCGGTCAGTGTAATTTGACTTTGGTGAACAAGGTCCAGGTAACTTTTATCATTCAACTTTTACTGTAAGTCTAATATACAAAAGACAAATATTACATATTCTATGGGTAAAATTTTGTCTTGGATTAAAGAAACACCTAAAAATCATTCTTCTAGGATTAGAAATTTTCTGTTTAGGAGAATAAAATTTAGAGTACAAATTTCCTTCTTTATATTAAAATCATATGGTACCCAAAAAGGTACGAATGGCACAGTCAAGTGCAGTCTGCAGTTCTCAATGTAGTAGAAATTAATGAATTAAAAAACTTTTAAAAAGGGCAAACATAAAGCTCAGACTTTTCTAATACTGATATTGTTTGTCACAAAACTCTAAAATTTCCACAACATATCTGTTGTTCTTATGTAAAAAGTCTGAAAAATTTCCTTTTTAAGTGAACTATCACAGGAAAAGCCCAGTATCTTCAGTGTATGTATTATGTAATATGTACTTGAACATGTCTGTGATCCAGGAGGCTAAGGCAAGAGGATCACAAGCTCAAGGTTTCCTCAGCAACTTTGTGAGAACCTGTCTCAAAATAAAAAATAATAAAAAAGTGACAAGGGATGTAACTTAGTGATAAGGCACCCTTGGGCTCAATCCCTAGCACACAAAAAAATAAAAATAAAAAAACCAAGTACTTTACTTGCAATTCCATTATTTACTGGGACACAGGTGTTCCTATGATGAAAACTGTTGTGTTCTCTTATACACATGAGGTATAGACAAAATTTACATTTAAATAACTTTTATACACAATTTTTAAATTTGGAGCTTATTAAAAAGTTAATTAGCCAGGTACAGTATCAAATGATTATAAACCAAGAAACTCAGGAGGTTGAGGCAAGAGGATTGTAAGTTTGAGGTCTGGACAACTTAGCAAGATTCTATCTCAAAATAAAAAATAAAAAGGGCTGGGGAAGTGGCTCAGTGGTTAAGTGCCCCTCAGTTCAATCTTCAGCAGCAAATAAATATATAAATAATAAAAAATAAATAGGGCTGGGTATGTAGCTTGGTGGTAAAGCACTCCTGGGTACAATCCCTGGTACCATCAAAAATTTTTTTCTTTTAATTATTTATGTATATGTGTATGTGTACGGATACACCCAAAACACACATACACACAATCCCTAGCACAAAAAAAATAAAAATAAAAAACCAAGTACTTTACACACACACATACACACACACACACACACAAATACAAACACATATACATATATTTGGATACCAGGGATTAAATCCAGGGGTGCTCAACCACGAACTACATCCCCAACCTTATTTATTTATTTTTTATCTTGATACAGGATCTCACTAAATTGCTTAGGGCCTCACTAAATTTCTGATGCTGGCTTTGAACTTTCAATCCTCCTGTCTCAGCCTCCCAAGTTGCTGGGATTACAGGCATGTGCCACTACTCCCAGCTCTTTTAACTATACTTAAGGGGAGAGAGGAGCACTGTTCATAATAACCCTATGTTGGCCAAGCTGTGTGCCTGGGCACAGTGCTAAGCCCACCCAAGGGGCAGCTTTTTCCCATTCACAATGGGTTAATATTGGCCATGAATTTCCAATTCCAAAGTCAGTGCATATGTACCTTAAAACGACATATATCATTATCTACTTATTTTTTCTCTTACTGTTTATGAAAATATTAATTTTAACACTCATTTTATCTTCATGATAAAAACAGCTTAAACTACAAATTATAACTTTGAAAAATATGTACTTTGTTTTAAATATTACTCCGATCACATCATCTTTCATTTTCATAATTTCCTTAAAGATTTTCTATTATTATATTGTGGTTTATTCTTTGGCCTCTTTGTTATTTGTAAGAATACTTAAGAAGTTAGAGATTTGCTTTTTATTTATTTATTGCTTTCAAGTATCATACTCTAGCTTGAGAATTTGGTCTTTAAAATGTGTGCTTTCTTTGCATTAGTTGCTTTATTTTGTGATTTCGTATAAATTTAGTATAAGTTATTTTTTTCTTTTCAATGCCTCTTAGGCTATCTAAAGCAAGGTACTGTTAAATTTTCTTTTGAAAGTAAGTGGGGGATGGGGATATAGCTTGGTGGTAGAGCACTTGCTTGGCATATGCGAAGACCTGAGTTTCATCCCCAGTTATCTCTCTCTCACACATACACATACAAAGAATAAGAAGGTGTGGAGCTTTTTTGGTACGGTTTAGATAGGAGGTGTCCCCCAAAAGCTTATGTGTGGAATAATGCAAGAAGGTTCAGAGGTGAAATGATTAGATGATGAGAGTTGTAACCCAATCATTGAATTAACTCCTCATAGGAATTAATTGGGTGATAAATGAAGGCAATAGGGTGTGGCTGGCGGAGATAGGTCTCTAGAGGTGTGCCCTTGGGTTTAAATTTTGCTCCTGGTGATCAGAGATATCTCTCTCTTCTTCCTGATTGCCCTGTCCCAAGCTACATTCCTCTGCCATGCATTCCTGACATGATGTTCTGCCTCACCTTGGGTCCAGAGAATGGAGTTGGTCATTTATGAACTGAGACCTCTGAAACATGAATCTCAAATAAACTTTTCCTCCTCTAACTTGTTCTTGTTGGGTCTTTTGGTCATGGCAATGAAAAAGCTGACTATAACACCATTCTTATAAAAATTCTTATACAACTAAAACCACTGAATCTGATTTCAACATTCTATATTTTAGGCTTTTTTCTTACTGATTTTTGTCAACTTTCAGCTTTTTTCTCTTGTTGAATATAAAATCATACAACATTGTTCAACCTTAAACTATGCAAACCACTCCTTTATTTAAACCCCACAATGCTCCATTTACACAACATAATGAGTAGTAGTTAAGAAAGGCTCCTAGGCATGGTGGCACAAGCCTGGAATCCCAGCAGCTTTGAAGGCGGAGATGGGAGGATCCTGAGTTTAATGCTAGCCTCAGCAAAAGCAAGGCACTAAGCAACTCAGTGAGAGCCTGTGTCTAAATAAAATACAAAATGGGCTGAGGATGTGGCTCAGTGGTTGAGTGCCCCTGAGTTCAATCCCTGATACACCCCATCCCCCCAAAGAAAGGCTGATTCAAGTTTTGTAAGCTTATTTTAAAAAAGGTAGTAAAAATGTCACCAAGTATTCAAGCTTGGCATCAAAGGACACTTCTGATTCAAGTGTACTCCTAACTTGTTTCATAAAACCTGAAGATGTTATTAAGTGTGCTAATTCTTTAAAATAATATTTATAATATTTAATAGACCTAGACTACAATAAAATTAGCATTTAGTAGTCTAAAATATTACATAATACAACCTGAAAGGTGTTCAAAAACTAAGTTCTGTAAGTAAGTCTATAGATGCCTTCCTGTTACCAATACAAGGATCCCAACTGTATGCTGTAACTGTAACTAAAATTACTTAAAATAAGGAATGTGATTTAAAATAGTTTAGTAGATCACTAAATAGTTGAAAATAAACATACCTCCCATTTTTGTCATCTTCATGAATAAAGGAAGACATGGTCTGTCTGCAAAAATTTCACTCTGATGAACAAGGCATTCCTTTACTACATCATAGCCATTAAGAACCACTGCTGATATGCCTCCAAGATCTAAACTGAAAATCTGTGAGAAAAAAAACATGTAAACAGCAGAATGTATAGAGAAATATAACCATGGAAATCCATGTGTGCTAAGCCCAGCTCTCCTGGTATTTGTTACTTCCCTAAAAATCTAAGCACTCATTTCTCAACTGACAATGTTTAGACAATGTGATTCGTTACACCATTCAGTGTCTGGGAACCATAATCTCATACCAGTATAATGGAAAGAGTACTGAATTCAGGAGGCCTGGGTTCTAGTTTGAGGTTTGACATTAAATATATATTAGACCCTATGCAGAACACTTTAATTTTGTGGGCTTCAGTGTGATCACAGAAAATATTTGATTTAGATGTTCTTTTAGGATTCATGCCACCTCAAAACATTCAATATTCAGGAATCTCTTTTCACTTCCAATATAAATAAAGAAGCAGCACCATCTTCCCCTTTATTCCTTTAGCCACAGGTAAGGGAAGGGGTTGTCAATGATCTGAAAGACAACTTTGAAGTATAAACATATCGTAGTAGGCTTATTTGTATTCAGCTCTTCAAATTTTATGAATTAAAATTAATTAATTAGTTAACCAAGAAGGCCCTAAAGGAATCAGACCTTGGAAGAGAGACCTTCACTATAGAAGAAGTGGCTGTGTTTCAGATAAAAGAAAAGCAAATAAGAATAGTCATCCTATATCTTGCTGGAGTTGTCTATAGTATGTCTCACCTCAGGCTCACTCCCAATGTCACAACCCCTGCAGTCTACTATAACTACCCCAATTTAAGGGCCTACTCTAGTGAGAAATGATGCTGTCTTGTCAGTGGGATCTGAAAACACCCTGAGAGGCTCATCCTCTTAGGTGTTCCCTGAGAACTTCCTGCAGACAAAATACTTAAGACAAACCTTATCTCTGTGTGACAAGCAGAGCAGATTTAACCATGGTACACACGACTTCAGGAGAAAATGTTAGGTTTAACAGAAAACAAAAGTTCTGTAGTAGCGGTTACATCAGTAAAAGTGATGAAGATGACCAAACTGAAACAGAATCAACCCCAGCCAAGCAATACGGCCAGTAGAGTCTTTGGCAGGAGGGTAGGCCTTGGAACTGAGCAATAGGGACATTTAACCTTGGGGAAAAAGCATGTACTGCCTGCCATAAGTAGTGTTATTAATAAAGAAAAGTGAATTGGAATTATTCAAAGTGAATGGCTCCCAGCACAAAGTGAACAGCTACCAGCTAAACAAAGAGGGAACACCAGTTCCCAAAACAGTAATATAGTGCTGTTAAAGAAAAGCCTTTTCCCAGAAATATAATTTTAACAAAAATAAGTAAAACAATAAGTCCTGGTGCAGGAAAAAGGAAAAAAAAAACAAACACTGATTGATGATTTCATAAGGATGAGCTGAGAGACCCTGACACTGAAAGTTACACTGGTATGAAGGCAAAACAGAGAGGAGATAATATTTCTTTTTTTATTATTATTAGTTGCTCATGACAATACAATGATCTTGACATATCATACATTTGATTCAAATGGGGTATGAATTCTCATTTTTCCACGTGTACAGATTGCAGGTTCACATTGGTTATACAGCCACATTTATACATACAGCCATACTAGTGTCTGTTGTATTCTGCTGCCCTTCCTATCTCTCCTCTCCTCCCCTCCCCTCCCATCACCTCTCTCTATCCAATCTACTGGTGACACATTTCTCTCTCTCTTTTTCTTCCCCCTCACACCATCATATATGTATTTTTTATAACGATGAGTGTCTCCTTCCATCTTCTGTGCAATTCCCCTTCGCCCTCCCATTCCCTCCCACCTCTCTTCCCTGTTTAGTGGTAATCTTCTTCTCATGCTTTTCCTCCCTACTCTATTTTGAGTCAACCCCCCCTTATATCAGAGAAAACATTCAGCATTTGTTTTTTAGGGAATGGCTAACTTCACTTAGAATAATCTGCTCTAATGCCATCCATTTCCCTGCAAATGCCATGATCTTGTTATTTTAGTGCTGAGTAATATTCCATTGTGTATAAATGCCACATTTTTTATCTATTCATCTATTGAAGGGCATCTATGTTGGTTCCACAGTCTAGCTATTGTGAATTGTGCTGCTATGAACATTGATGTAGCTGTATCCCTGTAGTATGCTCTTTTTAGGTCTTTTGGGTATAGTCTGAGAAGGGGAATAGCTGGGTCAAATGGTGGTTCCATTCCCAGCTTTCCAAGGACTCTCCATACTGTTTCCAAATTGGCTGCACCAATTTGCAGTCCCATCAGCAATGTATGAGTGTACCTTTTCCCCCACATCCTTGCCAACACTTATTATTGTTTTTATGCATAATAGCTGCCATTCTGACTGGAGTAAGATGATATCTTAGAGTAGTTTTGATTTACATTTCTCTAATTGCTAGATATGATGAACATTTTTTCATATATTTGTTGACTGATTGTTTATCCTCTTCTGAGAAGTGTCTGTTCAGGTCCTTATTGGGTTATTTGTTGTTTAGGTGAGGATATATGCAATGAAGAGTAGACATTGTTTGCCGATTGCTTTAAATAGCCACACTGGCCAGAGCAATTAAACAGACAAAAGAAATTAAAGGCATAAAGATAGGAAAAAAAGAACTTAAATTAGCACTATTTGCAGATGACATGATCCTATACCTAGAAGACCCAAAAAGTTCTACCAAGAAACTTCTAGATCTAGTAAATGAATTCATCAAAGTGGCAGGATATAAAATCAACACGCATAAATCAAAGGCGTTCCTGTATATCAGTGACAAATCCTCTGAAATGGAAACGAGGACAACCACTCCATTCACAATATCCTCAAAAATAAATAAATAAATAAATAAATAGAATACTTGGGAATCAACCTACCAAAAAGGGGAAAGATCTATACAACGAAAACTACAGAACCCTAAAGAGAGAAATAGAAGACCTTAGAAGATGGAAAGATATACCTTGCTCATGGATAGGCAGAATTAATATCATTAAAATGACCATATTACCAAAAGTACTCTATGGGTTTAATGCAACACCAATCAAAATCCCAATGGCATTCCTCACAGAAATAGAAAAAGCAATCATAAAATTCATCTGAAAAAACAAAAGACCCAGAATAGCTAAAGCAATTCTAAGCAGGACGAGTGAAACAGGTGGTATAGCGATACCAGATTTTAAACTATACTACAGAGCAATAGTAACAAAAACAGCATGGTACTGGTACCAAAACAGGTGGGTAGACCAATGGTACAGAATAGAGGACACAGGACCAATCCACAAAATTACAACTACCTTATATTAGACAAAGGTGCTAAAAGCATGCAATGGAGAAAGGATAGCATCTTCAACAAATGGTGCTGGGAGAACTAGAAATCCATATTCAACAAAATGAAATTGAATCCCTTTCTCTCACCATGCACAAAAGTTAACTCAAAATGGATCAAGGAGCTAGGAATCAAACCAGAGACTTTGCGTCTAATAGAAGATAAAGTTGGCCCCAATCTCCATCTCGTGGGGTCGGGCTCCAAATTCCTTAATAGGACACCTATAGCACAAGAGTTAAAATCAAGAATCAACAAATGGGATGTATTCAAACTAAAAAGTTTTTTCTCAGCAAGAGAAATAATAAGTGAGGTAAATAGGGAGCCTACATCCTGGGAACAAATTTTTACTCCTCACACTTCAGATAGAGCCCTAATATCCAGACTATACAAAGAACTCAAAAAATTAAACAATAAGAAAACAAATAACCCAATCAACAAATGGGCCAAGGACCTGAACAGACACTTCTCAGAGGAGGATATACAATTAATCAACAAGTACATGAAAAAATGCTCACCATCTCTAGCAGTCAGAGAAATGCAAATTAAAACCACCCTAAGATACCATCTCACTCCAGTAAGATTAGCAGCCATTATGAAGTCAAACAACAACAAGTGCTGGCGAGGATGTGGGGAAAAGGGTACACTTGTACATTGCTGGTGGGAGATAATATTTCATGGTAAAGCTTCAGGCTGTGACACTAGGGATTATAAAAATCAAAGAGGACCCACAGCTTGAGAAAGTTGTTATACAATCCACCTTTACTCAAAAATTTGAGGTAGTCTCCTATTTCAGGGTAGAACTGGAGGAATTTTTACTTCAACATGTATATATTCTAGTATACACTATTTTCAAGGTAAAGGTTTGAAATCAATTTGGAGAAACATACTCTTAAGCTGCTTTGATCTATGGAACAGTCCGAAATTAAGAATATGCATTCCTTGATTTAGTCGATAGTTTTTAGTTCCTATTGTGGGCTAATTAAGACGCTGACAGAGATGTAAACAGGAATACATGAAGTATTTTCCTTGTCTTCTAGAAGTCATTCTATGATCTTCAAGTCACTTCCTCTTGCTTCAGACCAGTTCTACCCAGAATTTTTCACTCTCAGTTAATGACCACTTTATGTTTCCTTCAAATATTCAGGTTCAAAACCCTGCAATTACCAGTGTGACACATTTTCTCCCAAACCCCATTTCCAACTACTCAGAGATCATGTTACTCCTACTTTCAGAATATAAACAGAATCTTTTAACTTCTTATCACCTCTGCTTTAGTTTGAGTTTCCTTAAATGTCCCCCAAGGGCCTCTGAATTAAAGGTTTTGTCCTCTTTTGTGTTACAGGGAGGTGGTAGAAACTTTAAGGGGTAGGACCTCATGGGAGACTTTGGGTCATGGGGATGTGCCCTTAAAAGGGGATACTGAAACCCGGGTCTATCCTCTTCCTCTCTAATTTTTGCTTCCTGGCTGCCATGAGGTGAGCAGATTTCCCTGCCATGTGCTCCTGCTGTGATGTACTGCCTCACCATAGGTCCAAAAGCAATAGGGTAAATTGGCCATGGACTGAAACTTCCCAAACTATAAGCCAAAGTAATTCTTTCCTCTTTTAAAGGTGATTATCTCAGGTATTATGTGACAGTGTAATCTATTCTAACACTCTAGTCCAAGCCTCCTTCATTTCTCCCTTATGCTATCAAAGCAGTCTCCTTTCTGGCCCCTTTAATTTCATTCATGTCTCTTTATGCATAATTCTCAACATGACATGTTTCAGCTTTGTGGTCTTTGTATTTGTTATTCTCTTGGTCCAGAATGTTCATCCCCTAGATATTTTTATAGCTTGCTCTTTTATTTCCTTTAAAGTCTTTGTTCAGATGCTATCTTTGCAGTGAGGCCTGCTCTGACTAGCCAATTTAAAATTTGATCCTTTAGCATTTTCCAGTTCCTAATTTACCTTAATTTATACCCTAAACTCTTTAAACATATTTTATAAATTACTTATTGTGCTATGTTGTCTGTCTTCCCCCCACTAGAATATAAGGTACATAAGAGCAGGGATCTCTGTTTTGTTCACTGCTATATATTCAGTGCCTAGGATAGTAAATAACATATGATGACAATTGGTAAATTTAAGTTTCATTAATGAATTGTGGTAGAGACATGCATTAAAGCATATCATTACAACATCATAGGCTAAGTGTTAATAACAAAAACATGCACCAAGTACCATTGATGTAAACTACAAAGTGAATGCCACACTTCCCCCACCCCACAATACTGGGATTAAACCCAGGGCCCAGGACACTCTATTACTGATCTATTACAATATTCCAAGGCCCTTTTGTTTTATTTTTTGAGATAGGGTCTTGCTAAGTTGCCCAGGCTAGACTCGAACTTGCAATCCTCCTCAGGCCACAGCCTCCAAACTGCTAGGATTACAGGTGTGTGTCACAGTGTGTGACATACTCTTCAACTTAGCTTCAGTTTGTTTTCTCATCAGGAATGCTTCTCTTGATTGTCATACTATTCAAACCATATCAAGTCTTTTTTTTTTTTTAAGAGAGAGAGAGAATTTTAATATTTATTTTTTAGTTTTCGGTGGACACCACATCTTTGTTTGTACGTGGTGCTGAGGATCGAACCCCAGGCCGCACGCATGCCAAGCGAGCGCGCTACTGCTTGAGCCACATCCCCATCCCCATACCAAGTCTTTAGGCACCTTCCTCCACAGTGCATTTTTTTTTCGGGTGTTCTCTCTTTTTCTCTCTGCTTTGAACGACTATGACACATGATTGGAAGATCCTATGGCCCTTATTTAATACTACCTTGAACCAGAAACATTCATATTCTTATTTTCTGTCTGCCTCTTAATTATGAACTCCTTTGAAGCAGTGATTTCATAATTTTTTATCTTTGAATCCTCCACAGAATCTGATTCAGTGCCTTGCATAAAGTTAATGTTTGCTGTAAAACTAAATTAGTTAGTTACCAATTCCACTTATTTTATTGTCCTTAAGTGCATTCGCCTGAAAAGAATCTGACAAAGACACTTGCTTACCAAAATCTAGATTACAACTAAAGTAACTGTAAAAGTTTAAACATTCACAGTGATCATCTAAAGAAATGGTATTTTTTGTGTAGTTCATTTCAATTTAAGATTTTTCTTTAAGATGAATGTGCAAGTCTTGAGACTAGCTATCTTCCTTTCAAGAATTATAAACAAGAATTAAATTCAGTCTGCACAAAAGTAGGTATTACATTAAGTGACTGTCATAAGTAATTTTAAAGCCCACATTTTTTTCTGTAAGCACACATTTCAAATTAAAAAGAGAGACAGTGGAAAAATAAGATTCTATTTCCAAATAAGTCCTACAAACTACTTTCCACAAATCTTCATGAAGTACAAGAGATAATAGTTGCCTTCAACCTCCAAAAAGAGTATTTAAACAACTTATATTAACTGTAATACTTTGTGAGAATTAAGAAATATCCCCCAAGATAAAAGGAAATTATTGTGAGCATTCCACAACTAAAACAAAGATGAAATGCTGCTATAGTTTAAAGAGTCAATGTTTGGTGGCTATTTAAGGCAATCGGCAAACAATGTCTACTCTTCATTGCATATATCCTAATTTTTGTTCCTTTCTGTTTTTCTTCTACCCCTTTTGCCATTATTAGCACAGTTTAGGCCTATTTGATTTGTGGTAAGAGTATTATTTCTACAGAATCATAATTTCAAACAGTGGTACCAGGAATAAAACTAGTTACTTATTCCAAATTCTTACCCATTGAATTAGATCTGTCTAAACCTGTGATGACAGTCTACCAAGATGTTTATAATTCATCTCATAAACTATTATAGCAGGAGCCAACTCACCCTGTTCCAAAGGAATATTTATATTAAATACAAAGTTCCTTTCAGTTCAAATATTTGTACATAAAAAACTTAATTCTCTATTCTGTAAGAAACCATTTCTACAACTCCTTTAAAAATACTTTTAAATTTGTAGGCCTAATAAATCCGTTCTTTGTATAGTAACTAGTGTTATGGTTTAGATGTGATGCATCCCCCAAAAGCTCATGTGTGAGACAATGTAAAAAAATTTAGTGCTTGCTTCAACAGCACATATACTAAAACTGGAGCAATACAGAGATGATTAGCATGGCCCCTGCACAAGGATGACATGCAAATTAGTGAAGTGTTCCATATTCTTTGAAAGGAGGGGAAGGCAGGGGATGTGGGGATAAGAAACATAGTAGAATGAAACAGACATTATTACTTTATGTATGTATGTGACTGTATGACCAATGTGATTCTACAATATGTATATTCAGAAAAATGAGAAATTACATCCCATCTGTGTATGATATATCAAAGTATATAAGTGCACTCTACTGTCATGTATAACTAATTAAAACAAATTAAAAAATTTTTAAAAAAAGAAAGTTTAGAGGTGAAAAGATTTGGTTATGCGAATCTTAAACTAATCAACGGGTGGTAACTATAGGCAGGTAGGGTGTGCCTAGAGGAGGTGGGTATGCCTTTGGGTATATATTTTGTCCCTGGTCTACAGTTTGTCTCTGCTTCCTGGTGCCAATTTCTGAGTTGCTTTCCTCCACCACACCCACCATGATGTTTTGCCTCATCTCTGTGGCGCAACGGAGCCGGCTATGGACTGAGATCTCTGAAACACTGTGCTCCAAATAAACTTTTCCTCCTCTAAAATTGTTCTTGTCAGGTCTTTTGGCCATAGCAATGAAAAATCTGACTAAACCATCAAGACCATATATGAGAACCAACAACATCTGAGCAACACTTCATTGTTTTTGGCTATCATTATTCGAATTACCCAGATCAGAAAAATTCAGGCTTCAGTGAAGTAAAGGTGAAGTTTCAACTGGGAAAAGAAGACTCAATGGCAAGTCTTATATTTTCACATCTTATGATATCTCCAGAGATACTATGTTTTGTACAAAGATCCCAAAGAGATCAAACATATTAAATTGAAATCATGAAAATAAACTCAATTCCTGAAGAACCGGAAGGTGGAAAACAGAATCTAAGATTTACATGTATTGTCTATACCTAAGTCCAGCTTCCCTTTTGCAACATAAACCACAGTGAGCTGCAGAAACCTAGAATAATTCTTCTAAAGATTACTTTAAGCACAAATCTGCAATACAATTAAGTAGATGCATACAATTAGGTAAGGACTTAAGGATTATTCTGAAATATAATTGCCAAACAGCCCCCTGTTTTTTTCCTTCTGAGTATTTAGTTTGTAGTGGATAATTAGATCAAGTTTCTCCCTGCTACTAGACTGTATAACTCCTCAAAACAAGTCCAGGTCTTCCTTCTTCATCTTTTTATTCCCAGCACCAAGCAGGAATCACAGGCTGTGGTTACACAGAAATGAACGTAAGTAATTCAAAACAAAACAAAACAGGTGAGTTTTGACCAGGGGTCTGGAAACTTCTGCTTCCTTTTGAAGGATAATCTTCTAAATACAAACATGAGTTCTAGCATTTTCTCTTTCCAGTCACTTAGCATTCCAGTGTCATAATTCACTTGTGAATAATGGGGGAAGCCAGAAGCACCTCACTGGATAGGAAGTTTTAAATGAGAACGAATTGACAGTGACACTGGCACATAAGTACATGCTATGAGAATGTTCCTGGCCAGTCTGGCTCCCGCTATGCTGCTGTAGGGCTCTTCACCAGATTTTGGTCAATAATTCATTCATACTTTTCAAAATCATGTACCAGAGCTCACTTCTAGGTTAGGGTCGTTCAACTAAGTTTTTGTTTTTTTTCATCCGCAGAGCAAACGCTTTGACCAGTCATTTGTCAATTACAAATACCGAAGAACCGTCTACTAACCACTAATTCTGTCCTAGAACTCAAGAAGCCTGTTGAACAGGCCAAGGGTTGAAATCTAAAGCCCGCACACAGGGCGGAGCAGCTCCCACAGTCTGGCGCTGGGCTGAGTGCACGCGCCTGCCCCAGGGGGCGCGACGGCTCCGCCCACAGGGCCCAGGGCGCTGGCGCGGGAGCACTGGCGCGAGCGCCCAGGGAGACGGGAAAGTCGTGCCCTAATTGCCCCTGGGAGCCGCCGCTGTGTCGAAGGCGCCTCCTTTCCTGGCCCGCGGACCCAGTTCCCCTCAAAAGGCGGTCAGAACAGCAAGAAAGGTCTCCCCAGGGGAGGACGGCCCGCGCCGGCCTGAACACAGGAAAGCTGCCCTCCCTGCCCGCGGCCCGTCGGGGCTGTACCTCGCCGTACACCTGGCTCTGCTTTCTCATGTAGACATGGGGAAGCTCAGCGGAGGCGGCCAGGGAGCAGATGTTGCCGAAAAAAGGCAGTCCCCGTGGTCCCGGGGGGAACCCCGCTGGCCGCCTCTGCTTCAGCAGTTGACGGATCCCCAGCGCGAAGAGCAGCAGGAAGAGTGCACTGCCGACGGCCGCGGCGCAGGCCACAGCCCCTGGGGGTTCCCACATTGGTCCTGCCAAGCGGGCGAAGCCCGCCACCGCCTTGAGAGCAAGGCGCCTGTTCCAGCTCCGCCTCACTCCCATTGGCCCGGTACCCCGAGGTCACGCCCTAGCTCCATGGCCATTGGCTCGCTGAGTGCAGGGCGCTTGGGCTACTGGAGTCAGTACCTCTGTTCCTGGCCCAGCTCAGAGTCCGCATTGCGACCCTTTGGATCTGGCTTGGCACTAGGTGAGCACCAACGTAGCGGGCATCGAGCCCGGGTTTCTAGGAAATAAACACCAGGACATTGAATACTGGTTAGGGCAGTTTCATTCAGGGCTAGCCGGATCCTGTCTCCTGAGAGACCAGCCTTTCTTATGGTGTCTTTTTAGGTACCAAGGCTGTGTATTCAAGACTAGGAAGAGTGGAGCGTTATTATCTATGCACTCTTTAGTTAAACATGAAAATATTCAGATTTTCTGTAGAGTTCACCCATCAGTATAAAAATAAAATAGTTTTACGCTTTTCTCCTACTTTACTCATCAGTTTTTTCCTGTTATGAAGCGTTTTTGTGTACGATCCTTTAAGAATTGTGATGAGTAAGCCCTGTTTATGTGATTAACTCTGGTTTACCTCTGGTTTTCCCAGCTTAGTTCCTTATTGGTAATCAGAGGTCTCTCTTGTCTGCAATTACTCAGGATTGTTCTTACTACTCAAGTTTTCTATTTCTACTACTTAGAATTAAGCAGCTGATTTCATATTGTTGTTTCAGTTTCTATTCCTGTTTTTAATAGGGCAATTCCTTGCAACACAGGACTTGCTGGACTTAAGACTCTTCTAACAGCTGCCCCCTAGTTATGATTTAAATTTGGATAAGAGTTTTATGTCCTCATTATCTTAAGTTGCATTCATAAACAAATATTTATTGAATGACTACTTTGTGCTGATGTCCTAAGCAATGGAGACACAAAGGTGAATAGGAACAACAAAATTCCCAAAGGGTATTTCCATAGGATCCATTCCCACAGAATAGGCACCTACTGCCTATTACAAATGCTTGATAGTCTCTTTAAAGATTCCCAGCAAACATCTTGGAAATCAGCTTAAGGATATATTAGAGGCGCAAAGATTTATTTATGACAGCAAGAAGTCCCCACAGCTGGGGAAACTGATGCTGGAGGATCACAAGTTCAAAGTCAGCCTCAGCAAATTAGTGAGGCTCTATCTCAGAAAAAAAAGAAGAAAGAAAGAAAAATCAAGAAATACATTCAAGGGAGAATGCAAGTCACCTTGATAGATGCTTTGGGGGTCTTGGGTTCTTTTAAAGGAAATTTGGTGAAGGTTGGGTGTGGGAAGGTAAGTGGAGATGACATCAGTCTGGTGATCACAAAACAGTTTATGGTGGCCATGTGGTTCTCAAGATCCTTATGTTGATATGATTTCCATTATCTGATCAGTAAGTAGGTAGCGTTTGGAAAGTACCCTAGATTATAGGCTTCATAATATTTATCTTCTTTGCTTAATCTACTTATTATGTAGGCTAATTACATTATTCAAAATAATTTTCATAAGTGGGTGGATTTCTGGTAACTTTAAGATTTACAGATTTCCTATAAATTTGGGAGTTACAGCCCTGGTAGAAGAACTATTTGGCTTAGAATGAGGTTTTTAGATTCAAGTTGTATATTTAAAAAATTTTTTCCTGTTTTATCCTTTCTACCTTTTATATTTCTTCTAGGCTACCTCATGAGGATGGGTTAATTTTCCTAGTAGGGGGCTTTTAATAAGAGCAAATTCAGCTTTCTCTTGTTTCCTCCCTTGCCATGTGACCTTTTCTGCAAACAACTGCTTTCCTTCGACTTCTTCCAAAGATCTAGCATGTGGCCCTTACTAGAAGCTAAGCAGGTGTTGGTGCCATGCTCTTGGACTTCCAGAAATGTGAGATAAATAAGGTTCTTTTCTTCATAAATTACTAAGCTTGTTAGAGCAACAGAAGTGGACTAGGATACAAACTGTCTCTCCAGGGCACATCCTGTAAGGCAGCAGTTATGTGAGAATAACAGATTTTGAATGTTGAAATTCTCTATGGTTGTTCCTTGGTGTTTCCCCAATGACAAATGATGCATCCAGCACAGGTTTATATTCTTGGCACATTCCATTATCCTCACCCAACTCAGGAAGGTTAAACTGAACTGTACTGGAACCTAAGGTGAAAGAAAAAATTGATGATACTGATTCTCATTAAGAATTTGACATATTTTTTATCTCAAATACTTGCCTTAATTTTGATTTTAAAGTTTTGCATTTAAAATGTTGCCAATAATATGATTCTATACCTAGAAGACCCAAAAAATTCCACCAGAAAACTTCTAGTAGTAAATGAATTCAGCAAAGTAGCAGGATATAAAATTAATACCCATAAATCAAAGGCATTTCTGTATATCAGTGACAAATCCTCTGGAAGGAAAATGAAGAAAACTACCCCAATTTCAATAGCCTCAAAAAAAAAGTACTTTGGAATCAACAAAACAGGTGAAAGTCTTCTACAATGAAAACTATGGAATGCTAAAGAAATTAAAGAAGACCTTAGAAGATATAAAGATCTACCTTGTAGATAGGCAGAATTAATATTGTCAAAATGACCATACTACCAAAAGCACTATACAGATTTAATGCAATTCTGATCAAAATCCCAATGACATTCCTCAAAGAAATAGAAAAAGCAGTCATGAAATTCATCTGGAAAAATAAGAGACTCAGAATAGCTAAAGTAATCCTTAGCAGGAATACTGAAGCAGGTGGCATCACTATACCAGACCTGAAACTATACTACAGAGCAATGGTAACAAATACAGCATGGTATTGGCACCAAAATAGACAGGTATACCAGTGGTACAGAACAGAGGACACAGAGACTAACCCACATAATTACAGTTATCTTATATTAGACAAAGGTGCCAAAAGCATACATTGGAGAAAAGATAGCATCTTCAACAAATGGTGCTAGGGAAACTGGAAATCCATATGCAACAAAATGAAATTGAACCTTTATCTCTCATCATGCACAAAACTCAACTCAAAGTGGATCAAGGACCTAGGAATTAAACCAGAGACACTGCATCTAATAGAAGAAAAAGTAGGCCCAAATCTCCATCATGTCAGATTAGGCCCCAACTTTCTTCATAAGACTCCTATAGTGCAAGAATTAAAATCAATAATCTATAAGTAGGATGGATTCAAACTAAAAATCTTTTTAGCAAAAGAGAGCCTACATTTTGGGAGCAAATTTCTACCACACATACACATCAGATAGAGCACTAATCTCTAGAATATATAAATAACTAAAAATTTTTAACCCCCCAAAAGCAAATTACCCAATCAATAAATGGGCCAAGGAACTGAACAGACACTTCTCAGAAGATGATATACAATCAATCAACAAATATATGAAAAAATGTTCATCCTCTCTAGTAATTAGAGAAATGCAATTCAAAAGTAAGATTTCATCTCATTCCAGTCAGAATGGCAGCTAGTAAGAATACAAATAAGTGTTGGTGAGGATGTGGGGGAAAAGGCACACTCATACATTGCTGGTGGGACTGCAAAATGGTGCAGCCAATATGAAAATCAGTATGGAGATTCCTTGGAAAAGTGGGAATGGAACCACTATTTGACCCAGCTATCCTACTCCTCAGTCTATACCCAAAGGACTTAAAAACAGCATACTACAGGGACATAGCCACATCAATGTTTATAGAAGCACTATTCACAATAGCTAAACTGTGGAACCAACCTACATGCCCTTCAGTAGATGAATGGATAAAGAAAATGTGGTATACATACACAATAGAATATTATTCCACATTAAAAGAGAATAAAATCATGGCATTTGCAGGTAGATGGATGGGGTTGGAGAAGATAATGCTAAGTGAAGTAAGCCAATCCCAAAAAAACAAAGGCTGAATCATAATGGGGTTGGGGTAGTGGGGATCATGGGAGGATCAGATGAACTCTAGATAACACAAAGGGGTGTGAGGGGAAGGGAGGGTACTTAGGCATAGAAAAGATGGTGGAATGAGATCGACCTCATTACCCTAAGTACATGTATGAAGACACGAATGGTGTGTCTTTACTTTGGGTACAACCAGAGATATGAAAAGTTGTGCTCTATAAGAGTAATATAAATTGTAAAGGATGCTACTGTCATATGTAACAAATTAGAATAAAAAAAAGATTAAGAAAAAAAAAAACGTTCTCTTGGTTACCAAGTTTTTTTGTGCCCCTTAAATTTTGCTTCTAAAGTGAACTCCTCACTTGCTTTACCCCAGTCCTGTGAGATAGGGTATCCAAATGATGATTTTGATTACAAAGGGGTGTGGGAACTTGGTTTCTACCAAGTGCTGGGGAAACTGGAAATCCATATGCAACAAAATGAAATTGAACCTTTATCTCTCATCATGCACAAAACTCAACTCAAAGTGGATCAAGGACTTACAGAGACACTGTATCTAATAGAAGAAAAAGTAGGCCCAAATCTCCATCATGTCAGATTAGGCCCCAACTTTTGGATTTTCTCAGCATTGTTAGGGGCCTGGCATTGAGATGGAACTGGCAAACTCATGGTGCCTTTTGGGTAGGATTTGAGGACACTTATGAAAAGTCTACCTTTAACTCTGAATTCTCCCCACCTCATTGCCTGAAGTGCAGTCTTTAAAAAAATTAATTTATGAGTTAAACATTCCCCCAAATAGTGTTGAGTTGGAAAATGCAAACCCTATTAGTAATCTCTGGAATATAGTGATAGGAAATTACTAAAATGTAACTATATGGAAAAAGTTTATTCAAACATTTTGAGACAAGGCAGAATGGGTGGCATGATGGTTCTTATTTATTGTTGGTGGTGGCAATAGTGATGATAATGATGGCAGTGGATGTGGGAGTTTCCAATTTTCCCTGTGTTTGATTGTGTAAAGCTATATGAATAATATTATAATGAACATCTTCCTTACTATAAGACTGAAATAATTTCCTTGGTGTAGATTTCCAAACATAGAATTATTTGATCACTA